AAAGATATTTGCCGTCTAGCAAACTATTTCGTTGTAAGTGATCGACTTTTGTATACGTCTTGGAATACTGGCTGAGGAGTTACTTTTTTTAGGTTCTTATAGGTGCATAAATAGGAGATTAGAACCATAACTCCTTTTCGTGCAATACTCTAATGTCCATGGCGACCATCTCCGATATGGACGAATTGTGTGTCCGTCAATCTTACAATTAATATCAAAGAATTTCTGTTTTTACCTTATATGCTATCCAGTGTTGATACTCGTCGTCAGTATACCAAACTGATACCCAGTTACAATATGGCTTTTATTTTATTATACTCGAGACAAAATTCTATATTTATTGTTTAATCACAATATGTTTTATAACTACAACTGAAATTCTCAGAATGTTTGTTTGACAGCACATCTGGGTGCTTACTCTCTTGAATGGGTTCACTCAATATCAATACAATTTCAGTCAAATAAAATCTCAATAATCATTCAATGTCAACACTATACAAACCTATATCTTAGCTGTTAAAATAGCATTCAGAGTGCGGAATATAAAGCCAAACTCAATACGGATGCAATGGACGCTAATGTTGCAACTCAAGAGTAAGAAATTTCACTATACCAATATCGATCGATCGGAATTATATTCGAGAGTAAGCCCCCCAGGTCTCATCGTAAATTGTTATAAATTAAATTTAACGTTTCTTAGACAACACCGTCGTAAATAACATGTATTTGATCATGTACCCTGAGTACTTAAATAGTACAGAAGCTTAACAGGTACTTAACACATTGTACTTTGGTCAATCGGTTTAATTTTTGTAACACTTTAATCGTGTGGATGTGCTAACTTCTTATTGTTTGATTCCCAGTTTAGTAAGTGCGTACAAGTGTGTGATTTAGGCATTTAAGTATCTAGTCTAGTTTGCCCACACGCCTGCAGAGGTCGCGCAGATGTTTTATGGACTGTATAGATAGTTACTAACAAAGGTTTAGGAAAAATTTACTTAGCAAGGCTGGTAGTTACGATTGGTGTCTGTACCCTCTGTAAACGTGTGGGCGGTGGCTCCACCTGTATTTATTATATGAACTGTGTTAACTAACTATGTCTGAACAATACATCATCTTGTCTTAAATTGCAGTTTTATACACTAATCATGTAACTTAAACATTGCACTGAAATTTACTTAGTACCCGGCAATAAATATGACACATCGACCTTTGAAAAGAGACAAGCGGTCAAGTCGCAGCGTATACTGCTTATGAATATAATCCGCTAATACTAGTCGAGTATTCTCCTCGAATCATAAAAAGATTAAATGATTATATTATCACACAAAATGGTCTCTTTCCAAAATTCAATGTGTTTTTTTTATCACCTGGTACTGTTGGTATCTCTGAAGATCTGTAATATTGTAATATGTGGTTGACACAAGTTGTAGGAGGAGCCATTTTTCCTATATATTGTCTTAGATGCGATAAGATGTGGCTTCGGTAATTATTTATTAGTACTGTAACGTATTTTTGAAATTATCAATCCAAAATAAAGTACCTAATCAACAAAATTGTTTTATTTTATCTTTTTGACTTCAGTTGTTGTGTTTTCAACCGATTTCAAAATAAGGAGGAGGTTCTCAATTCGACGTTCGAGATTTTTTTCTATGGTTGTTACTTGATTTCTCGAAGACGAATAGACTATACCGATTTCAAAAATTTTGTTATATACTGGTCTCATCATTGATAAAAACACTCACACTCTTTCGAGACGACATTTTTATCGACAAATGACATAGTCTGTATGCACATTCTGGTGCGGTCACCAAGCGCTGGTTTAAAATAGTCACTGATATTGAAAAAAGTTGTTTTCAAATATCGGCATCCTGTCGCTTAGCCTTCGATATAGCGTCTCGTACCACCTCACCAGCATTCGCTTTTACGCATATTTAGCAACGTAACTACCACACGGTTGTATGTCAATATTTGCCTTCCAAATACCTAAAAGGACTGCATTGCATTGCATTAACCATACTTTCATTAGAAGTTGTCTTCGACAAACAAAAACGTCCATTGTTAGCAAGTGTTTCATCTGGACCTAGACAAACTGTGTTATCATTTGCAGGTTGTGGAAATCCAAAGCGACAATCATTGTCTTGGCGATTTTTTTTGCATGTATTTATGGAATTGCATACCCTCTACTAACTTTCGCAACACAGGATCATTAGAGTTTAATGAGCATGAGACCAGTTTCTCAAATACCTTTAACCCTTGTGGTGTAGAGAATTCTGGAACATTACTACACCAAACTAAGATATAGAGATGTGGACTACCACGATTTTGGAACTCAACTCAGTAACTTCAATAGGACCTCCCAAGCAATCATGAGCTCACGACGAAACACAACACAATCGTTGTTTCACGTCGGTTTTCTGTGAGGCCGTGGCCGTATTAACTATTGCCGACGGTCTCAATACCAAGACGTTAACAATTGCACCTAATTGTCTAAAAGAAAATTCTAATGTGGGGCAATGTTTTTTTTAAAAAAAGAGAAAAAATTATCAATCCAAAAAAGTACCTAATCAACAAAATGGTTTTATTCTACCTTTTGACTTCAATTGTTTTTGATGCGAGGTAAATAGCGGTGAGATAATTTGATATAATAAAACTAAACAGATATTTACACAAGAATATTTATTATTACGTTGTATCACAGAATATATTACTATATGTGTATAAATATAATAATGTATGTGAATTTTCTTTGTTAATTATCACATTAATATGGGTAAACAGTCCATAGATTGCAGACACATAATTACTATTCACTACCTGTGTCCAGCACAGGTTGTACCTAAATTAATAATACAATTATTTTAATGTTTTGCCGTTTTCGAACATGTAATTTCAGCGGCTTTTGATTTATATAAATAATATCGAACATTGAATTTAATAGAAAACTTATTAAATAAACAATAACAACAATATAAAACTTACAGATAACATATTAAACCTAAAGATAAGTTCGCAGAAACTAAACTATGATTTCCTGGAATATAGTTATGCAATATTTTCCGAGGATGATCCATCCACCCACTTCAATAGCTGTAGGTACATAATTTCTCTAATCAGATGCAACAAAAATGCATCAATTATTATTTGTTCCGAGGTACTAGGACTTCATAACGTAGTAAGGAGTGTATTATAAAGTGGGTAGTAAATATTCTTGAATGACGTGTCTTCTTACTGTTACTGATCTTTCCAAGGACGTCGCAAAAGGCTGACGTAATGACACTTAGAAATGATTGAAGCACCAAAATGTCAGTAGTGTATTTCTGTGTGTGTGTTCTTGCAACACCATAATATATGAAGTGTTATGACGGGCCATGTCACGCGACGGATGTCCTTCGTGTCAATGTGTATGTATTCTACGTGAAGTGTACAGTAGCCAGGTACCACAGTAGTTGTTTCAAGAGACAACGTCAACCTTTTTTCAACATCTTTACTCTTACCTGGATATCAAATAACCGACTGTGTATAAAAAAACTGACGTCTTAGGTCATTGGTTCCTCGTCAACACAATGAATAGGAAACAAATTGAAAAATACTTGTAAAATAACTTATTTCATTAATAATTTATGATTACTTATGTTATGCTTAACCTAACGTTTAATTATATCGAGAATCGAGCTGCTATAGTACGTACACAAATGTAGGCTGTTTACCTACAGGCCTCTAAAATACTTTGGTCATGATTTTATGACACAACATTGTACATAATAACTAATATCGTATACAACTTTTTCTATAACCAGGTGTTTAACATTAAGAAGAGGAGAGAGCTTATGATAATGACAATATAGGTCAAAAGGGAGTAAGAAAATATGTTTCAAATTCGGCATCATCATAAACTGGAATACTCATCTAACATTCTTCTGGAATGACACTACTAGAAACTATGGAATGCAATATGTTTTCAAACATCTATATTATCTACAACTGCAAGTATTACTACTACCTATACAGAGTTTTTAAAAGATTGATAGACAGAGGCAAAGAGGTTACATGGGCGCCAGCAGCACAGCACAGCATTTTTTTCAATCAAATGTAACAACAATGCCTTCATTTTTTTTTTATACATTAATTATGTGTATTAACGACGCCCATGAGAGGTAGGTAAGGGATTTTATCGACATAATATATCAAATATTAAAGAATCTATTAAAAACTGTGCATAAATAAATGATTTATGCGGTAATATTTTACTATATTACAGCACAATATACAAAATAGACGAGTTATAGAGCTTAAGATTAAAGTTTAGTACCTAAATAGTTCAATAAATTCGAAATTTCTCACATTAGCCCAAAATCTTTGATACTAGGCGTAATTTTGTCAAAATATAGTCAAGGGACAACACAGTTGCGACACGAGATAGGTAATCGAGACAATAATACTAGACGTTAACAACTATCGCTCTAGAGGAAAAGAAACACTTGTACATACTTACTAGGACAAACGTCAGAAATAGTTATATGACGATCGTTCGAATTGACAATGGTAACCACGGGGTAACATGTTCATAACAGGTGGTATACACCCTACAACTAATCCATCTAACTGCGTACTCAGAGACATTAAATGTCAATAACCGATCTCAATCTAAAATTAGATCTACCTCTATAGAGTGTCTGTCTGATAACTTAAACTATTCCTTAGTAACGATTTTGTACCAAAACAATTGCTAAGGACTGGGGTTAAGCAACCATTTAATGCCTCAGAATAAAGTTAGACGGTTAGTATTCTATTTGGTAATAAAAAACTACACAAAATAGATTTATTCAATAAATAAATAAATATGTCATTAAATATATTAAATATCGTTCACGAAAATACGAAATAGTTAAACTACAAAACTCGACGCGCGATATCTAAAAATATAAAGGTTGTATTATGATGAGTCAACAATAGACAACTACTTAATCTTATAAATATTTAACAACTAGGTGTAAGATCTAGACCTGGAACGCCCTGACGATGGAGAACACGCTCTCGTAGGTTCCAGTGACGAAAATGAACAATCCTAGAAGAATGATGAATCCGTCTTTGATAAGCATGTGTTTGGGGATTCCTTCGGGCTTCTGGGATGTGTACACGAGCTCGATGAGGGGCGGGAACATCAGAGCCAAGGCTGTGCTGCTCACAGCTCCCACCAGCGAGATGAAGAGACCGAGCTCAGGAATCGATTCTGCTAGGACAACTACGAAACAAGACAAAAGTTCAGACAGGGAATTTTACAAGAAAAACGGTTTTAGATAGACTTCCATTACAACAAAGAAATTAGGTATCTACTATCAACTAATTATAGCAGTTATACTTACAGGTAAGTAGTACCAGAAGAGCTCTGTAACCCAGTTCCTTAGCAATGGGATTGGTTGTAGCGTATTTCTTCTGTATGGTGGGCCAAGTGATCGCGATGGGTACGTAGAACTGCAGGGGGTAGGTGAACAGAATCGATAGCGCGATCAAAGCCTGCACCACATTGCTGAGTCTGGAAAATTAACAAAATTTTATTTTTCTTATGAAACTCACGAAAAGTTTTTTTTTGATGAGAAATTGTCAAATGACTACTTGCGTCCGGAAAGCTAGAGGGAGTATCAAAGTCTTACGAATGCACGGCAAAATACAAATAAATAGTTAATTGTTCAATGAAATGTAATTTTTAGTCTAAAAAGATTTGATTCTGATAACTTACACTCTGCCTGGCTGCAAGTTCAGAGTCAAGCTGCCGAGCACATCATCTCCCCACTTGAGGTAGCCGAGGAAGCCCACGGTGATGAAGATGCTGCCCACCACTACCATGCCCACGTTCAACACACCCAAAGGCTTCTGGAACTTCTCCGGATTGCGCATTTCATTCTTGAGGGGCAGAACCTGATGACAGAATGTGAAATATTGTAAAAAAAATTGTAACAATAATATGCTAAAGCAATTTGCAGGTACGCATACACAACACTGGTAAGATATACACGGCTGGAACTATTTGAAAGAAAAATGCAAGTGCAATCAAGTTTTCGCATTAAATGCAAATATTTCGATAGCAGTATTTGCAGTATCAGCTCTCGCTTACGTAGATAAGTACAAGTATCCCGACACTAGCGCTGGGTTTTTGCCGAGCTCATGTATTATTATGACAAGGAATTTATTCACGTTTACCGCTGAGCGTTTCACAATCCCACTGCAGAGCAAAGGTTGCCTATCTTTCTTCTACAGCTACCATTCCTCTTTACGCAAAGCTTTACAAGAAATATTATGTAAGTACTCAAGTCACTCACCAATCCGATTCCCTCAAAAGCATAAATGGCAGTTCCAAAGTAAAGAGGCAGTTGTTGCCATGTTCCTATGTATTCCCTGGTCTCCACGTCAGGCAGGTCCTGGGTGGCTTCGTAGACCACCACGGCGACTCCCGTAGCCATCATAATGTTGGCAATGGTAGAGAATGGTGTCAGGTACTTGAGGTTACGCACCATGCAAGCCAGGAGTACTGGCACCACCACAAATATCATGTGGATTGATAAGTCAATGTGTATGTTGTACTGGTCGCAAATCTGTGGAGAAGGTGATGTGTTATGTTACTCATTATGTCATACATTTTAAATTTGATTTTGAGAATAAATCTAAACACAAATCAATACAAATATGTGGTAACTTGCGCACAAAATAGCAAAGATGTATTCGTAACCTTCTAACCTTTTATTGTTGAATTCTATCATTTATTCATTGAGTTTCTAACAATGCCTATCTGAACAGATAACAATAAAATCAGTAGAATTATAGAAATATAAGAAATTCATAAATTAAAAAGAACTAAAACACGCATTTAGTCATAATACGTAGTTACATCATTAGTATTAGGATGGAATGACTCTATGTATTTACTATTAAACAAACGAAGGTTGCATCACTCACATCAAGTAAGCTCGAGAGTACCATTATATTGTATGCTCATTGTCATCTAATCTTGATGCATACAATTGCCAAGTTTCATAATGATACAACCAGGTACCTATATGAAGACTGAGCAATTCAAGTTATTAGATTTAATAAGATAGTTTGATATAGTTCGACCTAATAAAAGCGTATAAAACAAAGATATCATTTAACTTACCATTTTAACATTATTCGCGATAAACACAATGTAGACACAGCAGAACCCGAGCTGTGTGATGCAGAGGAACCCATTCACCAGCACCTTCATGAAGGCTGCCAGTCCTCGGTACCTCACGGGGCCGTTGGCAAACACCAGGTATACCGTGTCTGCGAACCCTGGGGGCCGGTCACGTTTCGACTGACGATGCATCTCTTCTGAACAGTTGAGCTATAAATGATGGGAGCATATTAACAAAACATCACGCCTTTTATTCCCGAAGGGGTAGGCAGAGGTGCACATTATGCCACTGTACAATGTAATACCCACTTTTTACTATTTATGTTATGAATCCCATGTAATAGGGAGTGATCCTATTGCCATATACCGGGCACAATTCCAGACTCCGTGCTAGGTACTACTGAGAGTTTTTTTAACCCAGTAATACTTTGCTCGACCCGGAAATAGAACCCGAGACCCCTTGCCCGAGACTACTTGCGACCACTCGGCCAACGAGGCAGTCAGCATATTAAACTGTCAAATACCAAGCGGTCACCGGTGACCGCGACCTATTGTTCTTTAATTGTGTCTATAAAACCGGTACTCGACGAGTTAAGTTAAGCTATGAAATCTTAATTCTCTTTCTTACATAAATAGAAGTGCACTTTATGCCACTCATGTTATTATTTGAAGCGTATTTTAGAAAGGGACTATCCCTTTCTCTGTGGTCCCTGTCTCTTTGATCTCGTATGGGTTTACGATGATATTACGTGACAGTGTCACATAATGTTGTCATCCATTTTACGCTGGTTTTATTTGGTAGAAAATATAAAATGAATACCTAAATTTTAATTGCAAAATATACGGTTTATTAATAAACTAAAACCTTATCCTTATTTTAACATACACTTTTCTGAAAACTACATCACAATCGGTTCAGAAATCGCACACAAACATACATACATGCATATAGGCAAAACTGGGTACCTCCGTCCTTTTTTGAAGTCGGTTACAATTTTATAATATTAACATTACAATTCCACAGAGGTTATCGCATGATTTGAATCGAAACTTGATTAGAGACTGACACAATAATATCGAAAAAATCGATCCATAATTAACTACTTTATATCGGTCACAAAAAATTTTTGATAATTTTAAATTATGACTTTACAAGAAAACTTATGACGTTATAAGGTAATTATTTTAAAAAAAATTACAGCAATAATATATTTTTTTATTTTAAATACATTACTGTTTAATATTCATAGTAATGCACTTTCTAATATTATTTAGATACCGCTGATGGACGGTGAAGGACACTATCGTGAGGAAACCTGAACGTATAATTTCTAATTATAAGTTTGCATTCGCCAACCCGCATTGAACAAACGTGGTGATTAATGCTCAAACCTTCTCCGTGTGAGGCCTTTGGTCAGCAGTGGTGACTTATAGGCTGTTGATGTGTGTGTGTGTGAAAAATAAAATCATTCCAATACTCTGTTTGACCTGACAATTAGAACTGAAACTTCAGCAGCCGGGTCTATTGTACTTACCAGCAAATGTTGTGCATGTACGCAGATGATGCCAAGCAGCGCGGTGACTATGGGCGAGAAGACGATGCCTCCGTTCCTGAAGGCATCTCCCATGGCCAGGAGACCCGTACCAATGTTCCCACGGAAAAGGTGCAACATCGTGTCAGCGTATCTACACATAACATCGCGCTATTTAAACTCTGTTAGGGTAGGCAGAGGCGCATGTGTTAAATGTACCTAACACACAACGCATGATAGCCTTATTTTAAACTAAGTATGCGGCAAAAGTTAACAGTTATTTTACACTGTCAGTTTCGTAAGAAAGTAGGTAACAAGTTAAAATCCTCAATACAAATACAACAAACATACAAACTGCTTATAGGTATTGCAATAACTTCCGATTACTTTTTACACTTTAAATAATTGGCTATGAAAATGCCTATAAAGTTAAAAGTCACTTGTGTAAGTTACTCACGAAGTAGGATGCGTCACATGATGATGCCCATCATTGTGTTGACCATTCAGGGCCTTTCCATTCTCCAACTCCAACTGTCCTTTGGAGTCCGAGATGATCTGTTCCCTGGACTGGAACATGCCGTAACCGTCCGCTACACTGCTGCAAGTAAGGAGGCACTTTAGAACAATAATCACTTAAGCACATACACTAGCAGTTACAATTTATAGTCTCATGTTAGTCACGTGGAACATTTTAGTAAAGTACCCGGCTTTGCCTAAGTAGACGCGTTGCTGAGCCAGCATGTCGGCCGCTGAGCGCTCACTGGTCACTCCGCAACACTGGAGAGGGTGTTATGAGCCGCCGATATAAAGTAACCATGCGAGTACTGTTACCCCTCTCGTCTTAACGAAGAGGTGCGCAAACGTATCGATTTCATGTGATTCTACTAATTGCAATAAAAGGTCAGTAGATAAGACTTAGGTCACTATCTTAACAATTTTTCATAACTTTGTATCTAAGTGTAGTTTGCAGGGCACGCAATTAGTTGCATGTCGCCGGTGTCAGACACAGAGACGTCACCTCTATCCAGCCCGTGTACGGCACGTCCGGTCCGCGTACGATATCAAATAAACGAAGGAAATGATTTCCAGGCCAGGTTAGGGTCGGTCGTTGTCCCAGATCAAATAAAAACTGTGAAAATGAAATGTCAAAGGTATCCACTTCTCTCTTTGGAAAACTGTACCTAATTGGTTTTCAGGATACCAAAATCGATTCATGAATTGCACGAGCATTTCGGTCGCTATCACGTTTTCCAGTCACTGGCTTTTAGCCATTTTATGAACATTTGTAAATCGTCTAATGTTTTCCTGAATTATAAAATACTTACTTCAGAATTGAATTTGAAACTTCCTGACAACAATCGCGTTTGCTACCACTGATCTAACATTACTAAAGTAGATAATGGTGAGGCATTCCAATGCGAGCGTGATGGGAGAATAGGCATAATTATATGACAGGCACACTTCACAAGTTACAAGTACATAAGTGAGGATAAATAGGTCCAAATGATGAGTCAGGTGCATGGAAGTAATGGCTGCACATTCTGCAACAATACCTGACGTATCCTGGAGTGTGTTCACAATAGCCAACATAATTACCTAGATCATGGCTGATTAGGAGGGAGGTCAGGACATCCGCTCGCTATTTATTAATGCAACTTGAGCAAATAATAAAAGATCTGCATAGTAATCATGGAGCTACCTCGCACATACATACGTACATACATACTATATGCTGGACATTTGTAATAACAAACATATAATTTACAAGTTTACTATGTGGTCGTGGTGTACTGAAGGTTTAAGGCGCCCGCTTCTGCATGAGGATTCGAAACCTACCAACGGCAAGTGCACTGTGACGTTTTCCGACTTATATTTACTTTCTAAGATTATTTAGACACCACTAACAAACGGTCAAGGAAAACATCGTGAGGAAACCTGAGCGTTCGCCAACCCGCAAAGAGCAAACGTGTAGTGATTAATGCTCAAACTTTCTCCGTGTAAGAAGAGGCTTTGCTCAGCAGTGGGCATTTATAGGCTGTTGATGATGATGATGAAGTTTACTAATAATCCGACGTAGACGAAGTACTCTTAATCAACGTGTTTTTAAAACTCGATACGTGATTGAGATGGAAATTAAAGAAGTACTTCTAAGTAAATGTATAACAGGGTCGTAGTATATGTGGATAATGCACTCTATACGGTTGTTATAAGTCTTGGTATGCAATATCTACCTGTACCAATAACATTAGTTATTGTCTCAATTAAACTACACATATTTCTATTATTACGTATTTCTCCACTTACATAGGATTTGACGCGTCCCTAATTTGTTTGTTATCGTCAATATCAGAGTTTCAGTGTTTTAATGATGCTTTCGTGACGAATTCATTCAGACAGAAGTCTGCCTGTTGCTGTGTAAACTAGGAATGATATATCTGGCGCACCTTCAGCGTTAAATGTTGTTATAATGTAACAAGATTTGGTATCGCATCTTATTATATTACTAGCCACTATACCAATTGAACGCGAGCTAAGCCATTGAAATGAAACCAAGTGATGAAATGACTTTTATATCTGCAAATAGGTTATAAAGTAACACTTTTACACGTCCATCTTTAAATTCCTAGACGAGACTAGTGTGTAACGTGATCGGGTAACAAACATACAAACAAACCCAATGTCACATTAATAAGTATTATTGGTAAGATTATCTAATAGGTTCCATTAAGCCGCCATATAGTTCCATCACCAAAAGATGATTGGTATTTTTCGAACGCCTCGCACTACGGGCTATAGCACGTGGCGTATGTTTATATGCAGTGTGCAAAAACGATATAGCGACAAGAGTTGAAAAGGGTATGTTACAATAGTTTATCCATGTAGAAAGGATTGATTAAATCAGATTTACGAAAGAAGTATATAGAGCAGATATGAATGGAATCGGCGGTAGACGGCGCCCTAAACGGACATAATATATTGACCAGATAGGCAATATATTAAAGAAAGATCACCCTTAACCGACGAGCATTGCGAAAGAGATACGTAAGAACCGTCTCTGCCTACCCCCATGGAAGACAGGCATCAGGTACATGTATGTGTGTATGCATCTAACTCATCTAAATTGATCGTATCTCCAGTGATGAGTAGTTCTGTATAATTCTGAGAAGAAACAAATGGTAATTATAATTGCATTATGAGGTCGTGATATCTTTTTAATTAGTTTATCAGTAAGTTAGTGATTGCAACACGTGTTTGTCCTACATAAATATGATCCATATTATACGAACTCACGTGTGTTGTGTTTTATTAAAATAAGTGCATTAAATTCACATAGGTACAATCGGCAAAATTGGCAGTCGGCCATGACCGTCATTTGGTGATTTTGCATGCACTTGGCGCGAGCGACCACAGGGAAAACGGCCGGAGGATAGCGAGGTTGTAACAGGATTTTGTTTAAAAAGTGTAAACTTTGCCGATAGTACAACGTGCGTAACTACATTATACTATCTGTTTTATTTAGTTATTCTCTAATTTCTTATAACATGCTTATGTGGAATCACATAATATACAATTTTGCATACGAAGATGGTGTCTATACTCTATACAGACGGACAAAGATTTTAAGTTTAAATACAAGCACAGCAAAGAGGTTGGTAGGTACATACCTAACTAAGTTATATATTAATCACTAGACTGAAGATAGTGATTGCAGCATGCATTTGGACACATGCTTTAAAATAGAACATTCAAATTCTATTGAGCATGCACAAAAATGTAAAAGAATCGTACGCAAGCATGTCCGAAATGAGCATGTCAGTTTCGAGCAACATTCCGACACATGCTACTGCTACAAGTGCTCTATAGAAGCATGCTTTCGTGCTTAAAATTAAAGTAACTTGAAAAGTTAAAGTTCTGTTACATATGCTAATTTGATTTTAATTATTCAATAACTAGCTTTTACCCGCGGCTTCGCTCGCGTCACAAAAGGATAAAAAGCCAATGTGACATATACTAATACACACAGCGCCATCTTTACCAATACTTTTGTTTTCCCTCGGGAATATCAAATTTTTCAGCGATAAAAAGTACCCTATTATTTAATCCGGACTTGTAACTTTACGTCTACAAAATTTCAAAGCAATCGGTTTAGTAGTTACGGCGTTAAAGTGGAACAAACAAACTCACTTTCCGATTTATAATATAAGTAAGGAGTAAGGATATAGTCTACTAAAACCTTAATAGGCTAGGTAGTACCCCTGCTAGCCAGGTCTCGTCTGCCAGCACCTCTGCTAGTCCTTTGCGAATTTGGAGAAGCGATGTAGTTAAAAAGGATCTTGGACAAATTTGGGTTTAACAAGTATTGAGTAAGACCTGCGTAGGATTCAATGAAATGGCGACACTTCATACTAAAGGACGCACCTTGCGTCACTGAGCAATCTGAGTAAGAAACCTCGTTCATATTTTTATAAATGTAGATATGATACAAAATATCCACAATCCATAATGTTTCGTGAAAATATCAGTGACGTGAGTATGATCTATGTCTGACGTTTTTATTTGTAAGAAGTTAAGGACAAGTCACACGCCAAAGCCTTTTTTTATGGCATAAGCCGGTAAACGAGCAGACGGTGATCCGTCTGCTCACCTGATGGTAAGCAATCAGCGTCGCCCATGGACACCTGGAACACCAGAGGCGTTACAAGTACGTTACCCGCCTTTTGGGGATTAGGAGTTTGAGGGTCGTTGGGATTCAGGAATTGGGGAGATGGGGGAAGGGAAGGGTAATTGGGCCTCCGGTAACCTCACTCACACGACGAAACACAACGCAAGCGTTGCTTCACGTCAGTTTTCTGTGAGGCCGTGGTATCATTCTGGTCGAGCAGGCCCATTCGTGCCGAAGCATGGCTCTCCCACACTTACTTAAATTAGGCACAAAGCTAAATTATAAGACTAGAATCAACTAGAATAATATTTAGGTTGAGTAATTTTTTTTCTAGGAGAATAATGAACGGTTATTTTCAAAGACACACTTAAAATAAGGGAGAATGCTATTCAACCAAAAACACAACGATGCCTCTAGCACAGCCTAATATTAGGTACATATTTACACCGTCGCAAGTATTGACATTCGCCACCAACATTTATATAGTGTATTGTCGCCAATCTAAATGATTATAAACACCATTCGCACCGGCACTAAATAGGGCAACAATCGCAAAGCAAATTACATTAGTTACAAATGTACAATAACTAATTCATAATCACAAACAAAAAATATAATAAATACTTAGGTAGGTACCTATTTCAATAATGACTATTATTTATTTACACGCCCCTTGAAGAGTTACTAAGTTAGATAATACCTCATAAATAGGCTTTTATATCCATAATACAGAAGATACTGATTTGCACGATTAATCTCAACAAAGCATCCACTTATAGGTATAAGGTATAACTAAGGTGGTGATTAATTCTCAAACCTTCTTCGTGTGAGAAGAGGCTTTGCTCAGCAGTGGGCACTTATAACCTGTTGGTGATGATGATGATAAGGTATAACTAATCTCGTCAGATTAAAAATGCAAAATGACGTAATAGATA